GCTGCCCCCGGGTGGGGTGGGGGGGGGGCTTGGTGGGCTCACATTCTCTCTGTAAGCCTATCTCACTGACCCCAGCTTCCCAAAAAAGAAACCCACTCACCAGCATACGCTTTGTTATCCGTCCCCACTATACATAACCCCCCTCCCCCCTTTAAAGACTCCTCTGGAGCAGACTGGGCCAGTTCAGACGCTCCGGTGGTCAGCCTGCGAGCCGTTCTGAGGATCACAGGACAAGCTCGAGCCTGGAGAAGGAGCCCAGGTGTGGAGCCGTAATGTTCGGGTACCGCAGGGAGCTGGACAAGTACGAGGATGTGGACGAGGACGAGCTGCTGGCCTCACTGACTGCCGACGAGCTCCGAGAGCTGGAGCACGAGCTGGCGGACATCGACCCCGACCGGCACGTCCCCGTCGGCCTGCGACAGAAGGACCAGACGGCCAAGACGCCCACAGGCACCTTCAGCAGGGAGGCACTGATGAAATACTGGGAGAATGAGACCCGGAAACTCCTGGAGGACGAGAGGACAGGATGCAGCCCCAAACCGGTGAGCGACATGCGGCATCTGTGTGCCGAGGATCTTTCTTGTCAACCTGAAAATGTACAAAACTGAATTTTAGTTGTGGAGTAATATCAGCTGAGAAAGAACGCCGACTCTGCATGCGCGCATGTTTGTTTTTATCTCATGCAATAATGCACTTATTATGAAAACAACTTGAAGGTACCTTGAGAAGCTCAATTTCCTGTTTCCTGTCTTGAAACTGAACACAGGAAGATGAAAGGAAAGAAGATGGGATCAAGGAAGAGGGTGGCGATACAGAGGAGTGTGTGACAGAGGAGAACAGTGACGCCTCTGAGGAAGAAGGCAGCATGGAGGATGAGGAAGAGGAAGACAGTGAGGTAGAGGAAGAGGAAGCTGTAACCGAGAACGAAGAGGAAGATGAAGGTGCAGTGAGAGAGGAAAGTAGGAGTGAAAGCAGGGTCAAAGAGACACAGGGCTTTGGGTTGAGGGACAGAGAGGAGCAACTCCCAAAACCAGTTATTCCTGAGAATCCTGAAGGTCTGAACATCAAAATCACACCTGACAGGCCTTGTGGGAATCCTACGGTCATCGACGAGACCCTCGAGAAGATCCAGGCCGACGACGCCGACCTGACCGAGGTCAACCTGAACAACATCGAGAATATATCCCAACAGACTCTGGTGCGGTTTGCTGACGCATTGCGGTCCAACACGCATGTACAGGTCTTCAGCCTTGCCAACACACGAGCAGACGACCAGGTGGCCTTCGCCATCGCACAGACGCTCCAGGCCAACAGCAGCATCACCAACCTGAACATCGAGTCCAATTTTGTGACGGGAAGGGGCGTGCTGGCCCTGGCACGAGCCCTGCAGAGGAACCGCACGCTCACCGAGCTCCGCTTCCACAACCAGAGGCACATCCTGGGGGGGCAGGCGGAGATGGAGCTGGTCAAGCTGCTGAGGGACAACACCACCCTTCTGAAGCTGGGCTACCAGTTCGACCTTCCGGGGCCCAGGATGAGTATGACGGGCATCCTCACCCGGAACCAGGACCAGCGGCGGAAGCAGCGTCTCCAGGAGCAGAGGCAGCAGTGCGGGCCAGACGGGCCAGCCAACCCCAGGACCACCGCCCTGCAGAAGGGAACCCCAACAGCCTCCCCCTATGGGTCTCCAAGGCCTTCGCCCTGGTCCTCACCCTGGTCGTCCCCAAAACTGTCACGCCAAGATATCACCAAGAAGGCTCCTCCACCTGTGCCTGTAGCCCCACCTCCTCCTCCTCCTCCACCTCCACCCCCGCCCCCTCCATCTAAGTCCCCCCCGGAGAAGGCTGTGCCGACCAGGAACATCGCAGAGGTGATCCGGCAGCACGAGAAGCAGAAGCAGCGGGGAGGCGCAAACAAGCTGAAAGTGAGGAAGGGCAAGAAAGGAGGGGGCAAGGAGAAGGAGAGCAGCATCCTCAAGGAACTGAAGAGCGCGCTGAGGCCCGTGGCCGACAGGAGGTCAGAGGAGGCGTCCCGCCCATCGACGCCCCAGCGGTCAGCCCACGACGACCTCATGGCCTCCATCCGCAGCAGCAGCATCAAATCCCTGAAACGGGTGAGGGCGTGCCCTGAACGTCCACTGCCTTCCCTTAAACGGTTACCTGGCAACAGCAATAAAAATACACACACCTCAACCGCGTAATTCATTTACGCCAAATGAACCTCCAGTTCCCTGGCTGGGACGTTTCTCACTGTCATCCGGTGTGCGTTCTGGCTCTTCCAACAAAATTCCCTTCCTAGTATTGAAAAATAATTAATCAGCTCTATCATAACAAACGGTGTTCTCGGGTAAAAATTCCAAATCGCACGCGGCCTTCCTGGAAAAGGACGGGCGCGGGTTTTTGCGCTGGGGGGGCGCTTTATACCCCAGCGACCAGCGTCACATCTCATTGCGCCATCCTGCGCTCATCATCTCACGCAGTATTGTCTGTCCGCACGTTAACGGTACTGGCCAGCTTCAGCTGGGCACCGACACCAGCTGCAGAAGCTTAGCGCCGGTTGTTCTGAGACAGCCGTGGACCTCCCCGCCAGCCCCTGCCGTCAGATCACAGCCTTGTACAGTACGTTCTTCACACTTTGGTGGCGGCCATAAATAGACTCGCGGCTTTGATAAGGCTGCTGGCTTGGGTGCCGGTGCCGGGTCACACGCCAAACCGGCACGAACCACACAGAGAAAAACGCTGACCGGCACACACCGTCCATGAAGAGAAAACCCTATTATTTATTATTATTATATCCACTCTGCTTACCTTGTCAAAGTCATTCTGATTGAGACGCTTCAGGTCCACAGTAGCCAGAGGTTCCTGCACAAACGGGTCCGAATGGGGCGCCGAATCTCCGGAGCCGGAAGCAGCCGAACTTACGGACGTTTTTCTTTCTTTTGCAGGTAGAGATTCCAACGTACCTGCGGTAACCGGAGCCGGGCGGCGGACAGCGGAGAGGCGGACGGGTCACGTAGCTCATAATTTCCCACCCTCAACTTATTTATGCGACAATCTTTTCGTTAAATGTAACAGCTTCTTTTATTGAAGGCCATTTGCGACATGGACCATAATATTAGAATCGAGCTCTTTTAAAGGTGAATTTTAGTTTATTTCCTTGTCAAATGTAAATATGTATCCTTTGTGTATTTATTTATATAAGCGAGCCAATGGATTTAACAAAAAAAAAGTCATATTTTAACGTCATTAAAGTCATGTGACAATTTTACAAACCTGAGGCACGATTTCTGAGTAAAATCAAATGCGACTCGCGACAGCTAGGAAACACATGATATTAGGCTGAACAAAATACAGAATAAACGAACCACGCTTTGTCACAGAAGAAATTATTAAGCATTTTATTATAAGTGTAGGTAGGAGGGAATGAACCTGGGGGGTGCGTAACTCCCCCCCGTAATTAATTTGATTATTATACATACGCACACACACTTTATAGCCTATAAATATATGTATACAATCAAATTATGTATTCGTTAACGGAAAACGCAGCGCTATCTTAACTGTCTCACAAAGGCTCGGCCGCAAATTTATGTTTATTTCTACAAAAAAAAAAAACATACCGTCGTTAGATGTTAATAGCTACCGATGACACAAAAGAACTAAAGTCACCTGCGCCTCAGCAGCCTCAGCTCACGGGCAAAGATAGGGGCCCCGTGGGGGCGTCATGTACACCACCCATAGACACGGATATTACTGTGGTGAATGCAGGCATGATTAGACAGTAAACATCTCACCTGCAAGAAGAGCCGATTTCTAAAACTCACTCCCTCCACGGGACACGCTTCCCAGAGAATTTCTGTGGACATTGGGAGTTTGCATTACATGTGACTGGGGTTTGATTGGCAGCACTTTAACATACGATGTGGAAGCCTGATATTTGTGGTCTTACCTCAAAAACAACAAAAACAGACTAAGTGGGTTACAGGATTTTTGCCCTTCAAATGAGCATATGAAAATTAAGAACCCACAATGACACCGAGACACAGGCCTATTTTCATAATATTGGTGTAATTATAAAGCAGCGGTTCTGAATTACACAACCGAGCCGGGACGGAACCTTCACAGGGTCGGACCGTTCAGGCCAGTCACTCAGCGGTGGCCCCGCCAGAAGCCCGCCGGCCTCTCGGAGGACACGGTGTACCGCGGAGAAATGCCATCTCTGGGAAGGTTCCATCCTCAGTGGTGACAACTGAGACTATTTTTGCCTCGGGGGGGACAGCTGGGAGGACCCCCGCAGGACACGTCAGTGAAGTGTAGGACTGGGTCAGAAAGGGGGGGGGGGGCTGCAACGCTACTGATTGGGGAACGGGCGCCAGCCGCGACTCAGCTGGAAACAAACGCAGAGACCGCGGAGTCCTTGCGGCCCCCCCGCCAGCCTTAGGCCCAGACATCACCACCAGCACCAGACCAGAGGAGGGACAGCCTTGCATGTCACAGCAAGGGAACATAGGTCAGTACCTTACAGAGCTCACTCTCTCTCTGTCCGTCTCTCTCTCTTACACACGCACACACACACGCGCGCGCGCACACTCAGAACACACGCACACATACACGCGCACAAACTACCAAAAAAGATTTCTGCTGGGATTTAAGTCATATTCTTTCCAAGCGAAGCAGCGGACAGCTTTTATCTCTCACCTGCACCTTAAAACACCCCAGTAAGTCTCCACGATAATAATTAATAATTTATTCATTATTAGTGAACCATTCCAAAGCCTTGGGCAGCCTTGCAGTCAGAGGAATCCTGATTAACAATGAAACACATCACAGAAACATTTCCAATTCTGGATTAAAATTCAGTTAAACGGTTTGGCGATTTAAAAAGGGAGAATCAATCGCCTCCAACCACACCCAAACACACATACACACACACACACACACACACACACACACCAAAAACAGGATAATATTTTGTTAGCTGCACTGAATAAGAAGAAACACTTTGTAAATAATTACATTTATTTATGTATACAAAATTAGTGTTCAATTTGTTTTCCAACCTAGTTTTAAGGTCTGGTGTAAATGTTCTGACGACGATCCTCAGGAAGGCGGCTTCTGAGCGCGTTTGGAGACTCGGCGACCTAGGATGCGCTCAGCAGCACCATGAAACGCCCGTGAGTGGCGAAAGGAAAAATCCCGGAAGGAAAAAAAAATCAAAGATGCTCCGAGGACGAACCGGGCCGGCGAGGTGCGAGCGGATAAAAACCGAGAAGGTGCCAGCGGACCTGAAGACGGACGGCTGATGGCTCGGCTCTGGCCCAGACCCCCGGCCACCACGCTGCGGCGCAGTTTTATCTCATTCCTTACTTTAAATCCCTGCAAAAATAAAACGGCCCACATCTGCCTAAATTTACAGCGAGAGCAAATGGCGCCGCATCTTTAAAAATAGCAGAATTGGGGAGAAAAAATAAACGTTTCAAGAAGAATTCAAATATGGAAATTTCAAGTAGAGAAAAGTACACTATGAAAACAGTGTCTCGCACTGATCAGAGTTTTAATAAGTCAGTTTGTTGATTTTTGTACAATTTCATTTCAGCGAAGGAACGAGGTTATAAATGGTCCATATAAAATATGAATTTGCCGGAGGGAATCTTGATGGGGGAGAAAAAACTTGGATCAAGTGAGGTATTGCACAAGTAATTTTTCTTCTTAAAAAGGCTACAAATATATACAGCAAATTGACAGACCATTTACATACTAATCTGAATAACATTTAGAGAAATGAGAAGAATTTGTCTGCATGATTTTGTAAAAATTCACTAGTCATCCCATTCGTCATCATCTTCAAAGTCCTCCTCGTCATCGTCATCTTCGTCTTCGTCTAACAAACCAAATATTAAGTTTAGATGAACAGTGAGAATCGCAAAACAAATTCACAAAGAAAATCTGTTGTAAACATAAAATACGAAGCCATTTGTTCTCAAACTTTTTACACCGAATACCACTATGCAGTAAATATAAGCCTAGGTCCATCACCATTACGACCAATGTCATGACAGGTATCTACCACTGGGGGGAGCTCATGTACCACAGTTTGAGAACCACTATGAAACTGACCAATCGCCTTTAATTATAAGCTGATAAGAAGCATGTTCTCACAGATGGGGGCAGGGCATCGGGGGAGGTGCCTACCTGAAGAGTGTATGACCACGTTTCTCTTCTGCATGGCCTCCATCAGTGCTCCCACAATGCCGGAGGAGGCGGCAGACAGTTGAGGGGTCGAATCAGGACCCTCCTGTGACACCTAGGGAGGTGAAAGACAGGAGGTCGGCTGCCTGGTGGGGGAACAGCACCTGCTCCCCTCACCCAAACCCTCAGCCCCCGAGAGTCCCACTGACGTTCTTCAGCTGGATGCCCTGCCGAATCTGGTCCAGGAGGGCGCCCCGCCCCCCCCCGCTCGCGGCTGGCTTGCTGCTGGCGTCCATCTTCTTCAGCTGTGCCCCCCCACGAATCTGGTCCAGGAGTGCCGATCTACCCCCCGGGGCCTCTGTGGAGTCCAGGTCGGATGGTGGGGCCAGTCCTGGGGGCAGGGGAGGGGGCGGAGG